TGTGTGTGTGTGTGTGAGTGAGTGAGTGAGTGAAGTGGCTGCAGCAGGACGAGCATGGAGGGTGCATTTGCTTGTGCACAGCGCCACCTAATGGTTGCAGAGGGTGCATGCAGTAAAATGGGGCATTTATAGCCTAATACACTTCTTTTCGGTTTCCTATTTTAGAGCTGGGTGGGGCCACAAACAGCTGGGCTGGACTTTCAGGGAAACACCTCTATTCAGCGCATCTGTCAGATAATATCCGGTCGATGCACAAGTCAGGAGGGCAGGGCTGCTAGTACTCTTCATGTGTCGGCGACTTGGTGAAGAAGGTAAGAGGGTTCTTAAACTTCAGTTATAATCAGACTCTTATTTTGGAAACAAAGCTTGATATTTACGCATGTCGAAGGCCTCGAAGTTTTTTTTGCGTAAAAGAGAAGAATGAGCGTGATGCAACTCTGAGCCACGCGCACTCTGTAGTAGTAGTTGAAGGTTTGTGCACGTGGTGAGAGAAAGAACAAGGAAGTATCCGGCTGATGCAACGTGTGATCATCAGATCATCACAGAGCAACTTTTAATGTGGAGGAGAAATGTGAACCTTCATCTGATCCTGATACCGGAGAGAAACGTGTTTCCTGCAGTTTGTCTTGTTGCAGATCGAGGGAGAGCAGTGGGGACACGTTTCCTTGTTTAGCGCCACCACTTCACAAAGCGTGAGTGGGTGAACACACACGGACCCACCCGCGCTGTACACAAACCAAACTCCATGCACATTCTTGTTTGAATGGGAAGAGTCATCAAAATTGAAGGATGGAAACTTAAAATCAAACATTTCTCCCACCATGAGGATGTGGTTTCTGTGTGAAACTGTGAATGTGTCATTGGTTTAAATGTGATTTTAATTTCATCTTTCTTGAAATGTTTTTTTTAATTGTCATTTTTTTATGCAGACAAATGCACTTTAAGCCATTTTTTTATGTTTTAAAACACATGTTAACAAACAAACCCTGCGTGTTCGGCTCATGTTAGAGTAAACTGAACTAAATTAAATACACATAATAACAGTTTAACTTGATTTAGATCAAGACCATTTTAAACAAGGCAATTCAAATGGCTTGACATAAAATATAAAAGGCATCATTGCTAATTGTAAAAGCAACTTAAGACAAAACAGAAAATAATAATATGAAAAGAGTTACATAGAGAAAAAAAGGATAATTAAAATCAGATATAAAAGATTGAAGTCAGAGGCAAACAGGAAACTCCTCAGTGGGCATATTAGCGTCTCTAGCATTAATATTGATAGCAAACATGACAAATGGATCATTTCAAGCTTAAGACCTCATCTTTATTCTGCAGGAAGTTGATTCTGCTGTGGTTTAGACAGGGAACAATCAAAGTTTGTCCTCGAAACCCTACTGTTTTGGGTTTGGTATCCTGGCGTAATGATCCACAATTCGTGACCCAATATTACACGAGACAGCAATTCTGCGATATGCAAGACAATCATAAAACAATACATCGTGATATCTGTCTGCCTGAAGAAGGATTCAAAATGCCCCTGAAGAGTAAAAGTGCAGAATGAAGTCATGAAGTCTGTTAGACAAACTGAGATGAAACAATGAGTTCCCCACCTCATGTGTCTATACGTGCGTATCAAGTTTTATTGATCTCTGTAAACATTCCTCCGCTCTGTATTTGCCAGGAGCAGATTCTGTCCTAATGCATTTCCAATGCGACAGATGAGAAACAGTCCTTATGACATGGAAAAATACATTTCAAAGTTCAGCTGAAATTAGGAATCACAAGTCACCGGTAGTCGCATCACACTTGTTTCTTTTACTGTTATTATCTCTCTACCTCAGTAAGAATACAAAACGGTGTCAATAAACCTTGGATAATGAGACATTTGAGAAATTGTGAACAACATCACAATTTCTGTCCTGTAATTATCTGAGCTTGTTGTATCTGATCTCCAGTGCTTTTCTATGTTAATCCCACATATTCCATTATTTACACAAACAGACAAACCTGATTTAATCCATGGAAATTGTGTCAATCCTGAAGCAGCCACAGTATTAATCAGGTATTTATTTTAATCAGGTGTTTCATCCTGTTGTATTTCAGCTTTCACACTTGTTACCCAACGGTTGCTGCAATCACAAAGATTTATTCTGAACATTAACGCCTCAGTACCTGGAAATACAGGCATCTGTTTCAGGCCTCTGTTAAAAATAGTGTGAAAAAGGTTGTTAAGTGTTTGTGATATTTTTAGTGATCAGCGTTTATTTGATGCTTTGTATTTTCAGCACGGTTGGAAATGAACAACTGACTGTAGAAAGGTTAGAGAAATGAAAATGTAGAATTACGTTACGTACATTATGTGTGCTTTGTAAATGAGCAGTGTGACCACCTGCCAAATGTTTTGTTCTTTATAATTTCTAGGAGGACTTTATGTGTGTCAACCAGTGGGTGGACTCTTGAGGAATGATCCTGTAAATCAGGGACGTTTATATTAACATATGTAAAAATGTGAAATGTTAGCCTAAACATATGGCTGCCTGTGGTGTCATCCTGACATGTTGGAGTGGAAATCATGAGGAAGGTGCACAATGTAAACACTGAATCAGACGGTGAGAAGCTGCAAGGTCACGTCAGCTGAGCCTGAACAGGATACTGTTTCTGACACCGCAGCTGGTTTCAAACCGACGTGACAACAACTCAGAATCTAAATCATTATGCTATTACTGGCTACTGTGTGGGTCTGTGTCCAGTTATTCTCTAATGTTGTGGGGACATGAATCTGTTAAACATGTTTAAATGGCCACATTATGTTCACTTGTCTCCCTTATTGGGACAAAAAGTCAAGTGACCATAACATCAGTGTTTACATTTTCAGTTTTTTAAGAAGTGAGGTTAGGTTAAGGTGTGGGTGTGGTAAATGTCATATGATTGTTTTCATGATTCTGTTATATAGCGATTCAAAAGAAAATGCAGTTTAAAGAGTAGGTCAATAGTCAGCACTGGAGTATTGATCTGTTGAGTATTTGTTGACACAGATGTTTATTATATGTCTTGTTTTTGGCCCTTATGCATAGTTTCAGGTTCAGTTCTCATGGAAGTAAACAAGGTCAACAATCAAATCAAAGTTGTTGAACAAATCATTTGAATCAGTTAGAGCTCAATAAACTAATATGAACTAGTCAAGTAACAGTTTAAAATGAATCAAAATGACACGCTACATATTATACATACATACATTTGAAACACAAGTCAATTTAAAGTTGATTAGTTCAGACTTCAGGGACTTATATGTCCAACATTCATGCATAACTCCTGATTCAGTGAGGTGAATGCTGCTTGTTCAAACACAGGCTTAAAAATATAAAATAATCGCATTTAATGTTAGTAAGTGACTAGATTATATATATATATAAAAAACTGCTGACAGGACTGGGGCACTTCAGGGGCCCATCAGATTTCAGCTGGCACCCTTGCCCCCTAGCCCTGCGCCTGGATCCGCCCCTGCTGCAGTGAAAGCCAGTTGTCCAGATGACCTGTGTAGCACAAGATAGCAGCTTCACACTTATATGAGATATTCAGGAACATTTATTTATGTGTGTCATGAAAGAAGAATTGTTCAAGTTTTAAATGTGAGTGATTTTGCATTAGTAATTGTCCCAAGTGCAATAAACATTATTTGGATATTCCAGCTATAAACACCTCTGTTCTTTTTATAATAGATAGCTGTTCTTTTTTAGTTTTGTCCTACCCAGGTGCAGTGTTACAAGGTCATCTTGGCCCTAGAGGTGTCACCAAGGCCCTAATCCCTGGAAAGGAGAGTTTGTTTGGCTCGTGTGAGCTGTGTGCTTTGTGATCTCCCTCACATGGGCCTTTGTTTGCTCGCTCCCCAGTTATGCCACAAGGGCAGGTGGGCTCTTTGTGGTGCTGCTAAATACCCTTCATGTGCCAAGTGCCAGCTCAGTGGGCTCTAAATGGGCTCTTTGCTGCAGCCTCCATCGTTTTTATTTGTATTCACGCAGGGAAAATTCTAATTAAACACATCCGGCAGTATTTCTCCAATTTATGTTTGGAAAGAAAAATGTCAAGTTGCTCTCTGATATCTTTGAGATAATGTGTTTTCTCTGACGCGGGTAGTTCTGCAGGTGTCCGTCTGTTGTGTGTAATAGATGTAACAACATTTGTAGCAGCGTTTATCAGCCAACAGACACATACAGGTTCAATATTAACGCTTGGGTGGTGTCCCTGTTGTTGTGGCTGCTCAGAGAATATAACAAGAATAAATAAGTAAAACACCACTATCTTGTGGATTTAACATTTGACCTCTGCTGTATTTTCTATATAATAGATTGTGCTTGAGCTTTGTGTTAAATTCCTTGTGAGCATAAACAATGTCACAGCCAACACACGGGAGACGTTTGAAGGAGTATTTTGCCCACAGCCAAGTAGTGACGAGCATGTGACTCACTGCTATTCCAGATTCACCAATGCAGCAAGCTCAGTGATTGGCTGAGGAGAGGGCAGGGTCCTTTCCCTGCCCATTCTCCTTTTTTAGCTCGATCTCCGCGTGTCACGTCATGTGCAAATGTGTCTGTGCTGAGCCGTGAACCATCGACTGTTCCACCACCATTGTTTTCCCTCCCTGGCTGTGGTGGAGCAAACGTTCATCCTTGAGCCGCCTGTAAGGACATGCAGTAGTTTTTTTTACATGTCCTATACTTTTATTGACACTTCTGGCCTCCTCTTATCAAACACTTCTGGCCTGCTTAAGTATCTGGCCCCAACTGTCCCAGGTCATCATAACCCAGATGGACAACATGAAATTGTTTAATGTCAACTACGGCTCATTTAGTCCTTGAATCTGTTTTTCTTTAGAGAAAAATCGAGACTAGAAGAGATAACCCTCTGCAGCTTTCCAGAGTTCTGTGATTGTAATACCTACGACAAAACAAATTTACAATCAAAATCACTCCTTAAGTCTTGTACAACTATTCAACTATGTAAAATCCAGTCATATTGTTCTTGACCTCTGGTATTTATTATTTGATGATAATCAGTAGAGCCTGTTGGTGGGTCAGTCCTGTGCGGGTGGAACATGGCTATCGTCACAGCTGCTTCAAGTGTTTGAGACCTGAGGCCATGTGACACGTCACGGTTCTATTTGTGAATCGGACACCTGAATAGTTTGTACACAAGAGGCGTCGGCATCACGTGTCGAGCCAGCGCTTGTAAACGTCCCTGTGTGTCTCTCTTCATCTAAAGAAGAGAAATCGGTCCACAGCTACACACTCTCGGAGAAAGTGGTTGAGAGGATTTATAAAGTGAACGAAGACTAAAGGCAGAGAACCCCTGCTTTGTATTGTGTTGTGACAGTGAGTATTGTGTGCGTTGTTGGATAGATCTGTTGTCTGTGCTGTGCTGGCTTTTACATTTTTATAGGGTGTGAAAAGTCTGGATTCATTCACATCTACAGTATCTTAATATTCTACCTGGTAAATTAAAATGAAAAAAGCTCAGCAATCATTTGATTTCTCTGTCTCTTCCTTTCTGTTTTACTTGCTGCCGTCATTGTAACCTGGAACAATAGAAGTTAACCGCACGTAATTATAGGAGAGTATAAGGTAGAATGATTGTCCAATCAGAAGCTGTGTCGGTTGAATGTAAGTATGTAAATTGATGTACTTAAAACAACCAGCCTCTCGTCCGATGAAAATGGTCAGAGCCATTTTCTTAATAATATATTACATATAGTACAAATGTAGATGTTAAGTATATTTGAATAGTTAAACATTAGTTTGTGAGCTAAAGGTATTTTTTTTAGATGTATATCCTCTAATTTTCATGGTATAATGTTATAATACTAATGATATATTTTGGTCAGTACACTGTTTGTATGTTCTGAATGGACCAGTATTAGTTTGGTCTCACGATATAGATTTGTTGCACATTGAAGCAGTTTCCGCATTATCCTTAATATCAGTGGTAAAAAGCTACAGTGCTACTTTGCTAATAAACCTTTTATCAATATTGGGACATTTTTGACTGTTTCTTCCTGAACTGAACTCACTTACTTTGCACATGGTTTATTGTCAAGTTTCCATCTTCACACCTGAGAAAACTGAACTCAAACAACTCGTGCACCGTCCAAACGCTCTGAGCACTCGTCTGAGTAGAAAACAGAAAAATCCCGTAGATCCAGCAGAGGAATTTGGGAGCGTCTTCACTGTAAACCCCCAACAGGCAGAACATTTTTGCTGCAATTTGTATTGTTTGGCCGTTGGAAGCCTATTGAACTAGAACACTCGGTAGAGTATACACTGAAATATAGAAGTCTGCTAAAAATGCCCGATTTCTTTCATCTAGATCCACAAATTAGTTTCTGGAAATTTGTGAAAATGTCAAAAAGCATCCCATCACAATGTTATTGTGATTAAAAGGCTGAAACACTTGATGACGCCAAGGTTAAACTAAAGATTATACACATTCCATGTTTTTAAGAAATCAGAGAAGTAGTTTTTGTTTAATACTGCTTACAAACAAACCAACCGACCAATAATCAGACTTGGACGAAGTAAGAAATAAAAACTACATGTATTGTGTGTGTTTTCAATTGCATAGTAATACTTCTGGCTTATTGTGTCAACAGGTGAATACCTGCAGTAGAGCATTGGTACACAGTGCCAACCAGGATGATTCTGGCAGCACTGAAAGGCATTGGGAAGCAGCTCCTGCGGGTCAAGGTCGTGGACTGTAACACCGAGGACTCCCGCTTGTGTCGATGCCTCAACACATTCGATCTGGTGGCCCTCGGTGTCGGCAGCACGCTGGGGGCTGGCGTCTACGTGCTCGCTGGCGCCGTGGCGCGAAGCAGCTCCGGACCTGCCATCGTCCTCTCCTTCCTCATCGCCGCCCTGGCTTCCGTCCTCGCCGGTCTGTGCTACGCCGAGTTTGGAGCCCGTGTCCCCAAAACTGGCTCGGCCTACCTCTACAGCTACGTGACCGTGGGAGAACTGTGGGCCTTCATCACGGGCTGGAACCTCATCCTCTCTTACATCATCGGTGAGACACTTTCGATAAGGAAGGGAAGGAGTTTGGCTGTCCCACCAGATATTCTTTGGTTTCTATTAAATTCTTTCCTCCGCACAGGAACTTCAAGCGTGGCCAGAGCGTGGAGCGCGACCTTTGACGAGCTGATTGGACGCCATATTGAGGAATTCTGCAGACAACACATGACCATCAACGCCCCGGGCATCCTGGCAGAATATCCTGACATATTTGCTGTCTTCATCATCATTACTCTGACGGGTCAGGAACTGATCTGATATTGTTTGTTTTTCCCCATCTTTATTCAAGGGCTCAATCTTGGAACTTACTGAATCCATGTTCAGATTTGTAATGCTCTCTCTCAAAATGCTGCCCTTGCACTCAAACATTCCCTGCTAGTGCTTAGATTTCCTGCTCTGCAGCTTCTGCTCTTCTCCTCAAACTCTGTGCACACGAGCAACTTCTGCTCCTGGATTTCTACTCTGCAAGTGCAGGGTTTTTTCTGTGAGAGAGAATTACAAACTGAAACTAAAAGAGCACTTGAATAAAGATGCGTAAACTGTCTCTCATATTTTGTCCTTTCTTTTCGTTATAGGTTTTCATTTTTCACTTTGTCTTTTTTAAATGCTTGCAGGACTGCTTGTATTTGGAGTGAAGGAGTCGGCTTTGGTAAATAAAGTATTCACCTGCATTAACGTGCTGGTGCTGCTGTTTGTGGTCATCTCTGGCATGGTGAAAGGAAACCTGGAGAACTGGAAATTGAACCCTGAAAAGATCCTCAATTCCACCAGCAGCAACGACTTCATGTTCAAGTGGGTGAAATAAAGAACCTTTAAAAACGTCCCCCAAAAATGTTGCTGGTCCAAATAATCAAATGCCTACTTTTTATTTCCAGCATGACTAGTGATATTCCATCCGAAGAATCCCTCGGTGAGGGCGGTTTTATGCCTTTTGGCTTCTCTGGAGTCCTCTCTGGTGCGGCCACGTGTTTTTATGCCTTCATCGGATTTGACTGCATCGCCACTACAGGTGAGAGGAAGCACATCAATCTGATAATCATCACACACGATGATGTTCTTCCTCTGACATCTCCTGGTTGTGTTTCCTCCCTGTAGGAGAGGAGGTGAAGAATCCCCAGAGGGCCATCCCTGTTGGGATCGTGGCCTCGCTCCTCATCTGTTTCGTGGCGTACTTCGGCGTGTCCGCAGCGCTCACTGTGATGATGCCGTACTACATGCTTGACAAAAACAGCCCTCTACCCGTAGCATTTAAGTACGTGGGCTGGGAGGGAGCCACGTACGCTGTGGCCATTGGCTCTTTGTGTGCCCTGTCCACCAGGTAAGAGGACCTCCTGCCGCCTCCTGTAATTGTTCTGCATGAAATGTTCCTGCGTCGTAAAACATTTGCAAAGCATCGTTTGTATTCATGTTTACATCCTGTAACCACCACCACCACCACCACAACCTGTAGATGCGACATTGACAGGAAACTGTATTGACACTGGTACATGAAAGGCAAACAAAATAGACTATAATTAGTTTGTTAATAGTGATTAAACCTAACATTGTCTTTTTAATTCAGCTTCACATACTTTTTGGGGGACACATTTTTGTCCCAAGCCGCATTTACCCACATTTTCCTTAATTCCTCACAGCATAATTTAAGATGGAGAAAAATTGCATTTTTAGGAGACTGATATTTATAAAGGGGCCTGAGAGAGGTATGGGTTCTACTGAGTGACATAATATTTAATTGACCCTGACACTTGTTCCCTGTTCTAATTGTGTGCATTCACATGCACGGCATGCTTTTGTTTTTCTCTCTCCCCACACTAGTTTACTAGGCTCGATGTTCCCAATGCCCAGAGTGATCTGGGCCATGGCAGAAGATGGCCTGCTCTTCAAATGTTTGGCTAAAATCAGCGACCGAACCAAAACCCCTTTAACAGCTACAATAACCTCGGGTGTTGTGGCAGGTGAGGCCGCGACCTAAACCTACTAACTGGTTAGGGGGGGGGGGGTTCCTGTCAGAGCCCTGTGAGACTCTTGGTGCACACGGCCTCAGCACAAAACCAAAAATGCTCACATGGCATAAAGTCAAAAAAAATGGTTAAATTTCTGCATTATAAAGCTGTGGCCCTGCAACATCCTGAATACAACGTGCTGTGTTGGTGACTCAGGATGCGAGGCTGTGTGTGGCGGCGGCTGAGGCTGTGTGTGAGACACCAGGGTTCACAAACTGAGGATTTCTTCTACACATTATAAACCTCTTCCTCCTCCTCCTTCTTGCTTCACCCTCGGCTTAGTCTCCTCGGCTCCATGTTTCCTCTGCCTCGCATTATCTTTGCTATGGCTCGCGATGGTCTTCTCTTCTCGTTTCTGGCCCGTATCAGCAAGAGGAGGACGCCCATCATCTCCACCTTGGTGGCGGGGCTCTTGTCTGGTAGGTAGCTGAGCTGAGGGCAAAGGCAAGACTGCCCCCTTGTGGCAGGAGGATGGTGGTGTTTTGGGTGCTGTTTTGATCAATTTTCTAAAATTAAAAATCTACAAATTATATTATTTTTGTGGATAAAATGCTAACTGTGCTGTTTTGGCCTGCTGGATTAATTTAAAGATGTTTTTGCTGACATGTATTTTCCTCTTCTCCTGCAGCTGTGATGGCCTTCCTGTTTGACCTGAAGGACCTGGTTGACCTCATGTCCATCGGCACCTTGTTGGCCTACACCCTGGTCGCTGCCTGTGTGCTGGTCCTCAGGTATAGTCCTCAGGCTGAATAACACCATATTAAATGATATGTAATTAGTACATCCGCGGACTGAGAAGGAAATCCCCCACTCAGAGGCTAATCGAACCAGCCCGTCCAAAAGTGTGCAAGAGTGTTTCAGTTTTCTGATCCACGCTACCATGGTGATATCAAAAGCTGTTTTCAAAAGAATGAGAACCTTCAGACTAAAGTTTGTGAATATCTTATACATTTCATGTTTTTTATGCATGTTGCAGTAAGAGTAAGGCTAATAAACGTATATTTATATAGTTTAATCTATGCATAAAATAAATCAAAAAATAAAACAAAACAATTAAATCAAATATAAACGGCTTGTTAAGACAGATGGCAGATTACATTTATGATTCATCTAAATCAATTGTGGCATATTCACCATAGAAAGCAGCGGTGTTTGGGGAACTGTACAGTTTCAGTGTGCGGTGGTTTGTCGTCTGAAGGTACCAGCCTGAGCAGCCCAGTGTGGCCTACGAGATGACCAACACTCAGGAGGAACCGGACAATGGGGAGTCGTGTAGCGAGGTGAACATCGACATTCTGCCCCCGCCCACGGATCGCTTCACCATCAAGAATCTGCTTTACCCTTTAAACACAGAACCGTCACCACTGTCTGGTTTTACTGTGAATGTGTGCGCCAGTTTACTCGGTGAGGGACACACACACACACACACACACACACACTTGCACGCAGGCCTGGCTACCTTGTTATCATCAGCTGACGCTCTCTCTTCCCCCCCGTGCAGGTGTGTTGGCGTTTGTCTTCAGTGTTGTAGCTGTTCAGGGAGGGATGGCGCCCTGGTCACTGACTATCCTTAGTATCATCATGGCCATCTGTCTGGCTCTCTGCGTCATTGTGTGCCGACAACCTCAGAGCAAGACCAAGCTTGCCTTCACGGTACAGTCGCTTCCAAGAGAGAACGGTTTTATTGTAGTTTAACTGCTGCGCGGTGAAATTCACTGAAGACTATTATTGCTTCTAACCTGCTCAATTACTACACATCTTTTAACTAGACATCGTTTCTTGTCATGGATTTATAAAATAAAGCACAAGTTGTTTTTTAATTGATTACATTTTGGACAACTCATTATAGTAATAAAACTGCAGTAACATGAATCTTTCATGAATTTAGTGTGCTGCCATCGTGACACATTCATTCCCTATAGAGTAACACAGACTCTTTGCAACTGCACGAAAACTCTTTCTTGCATTAATGAAATAAATTAAACCGAGGTTTCCTGGAAAACATGTGAAATTGCTTTAAAGTCATGGCTTTTGAAAGTTGTTTTTGCAAAAATGAAAAGTTGTCTAAGTTCCAGCCCATTGAACAGTTTTTTCTTTTTGTCCATATCTCTTCCATCACTTTTTGTGTCTTTTCTTTTTATCAAAAGTTGAACTGCGTCAAATTTCACATTCTCTTTTCTCTCAGGTTCCTCTGCTGCCTTTTCTCCCAGTCATCAGTATGTTTATCAATGTTTACCTGATGATGCAGCTCGACAAAGGAACCTGGCTGCGTTTTGCCATCTGGATGGTTTTAGGTAATTCAGATTTTTTTGAGGCAAACTATTGAAAGTATTATAATTTATAAAATGAATATACCTGTATTGTATTTAATTTGTTAGAAGTAATTTATCTTTGCATTAATGGGTCTACTCCATTTGCAGGTTTTGTTATCTACTTTGGCTACGGCATTCGAAACAGCACGGAGGCCAAGTCGCAGAAGTCGGGCACCTACACACCACCCTGCAAAATAAAGGGCGAGCCCATGATCCCGGAGAAGCAAGCCTTCCTTCATGACAGACAGGACGCCGCCGCAGACGACGAAGATGATGACGAAGATTCCTAAGAAAACATGAGGTTCACTAATCTACCCTGTTCTGCATATTAAGACAATGACGTGTGTCAAAAATCTCTTTGAATCCAGGAGACTTGTACAAGCCCGTCACTCAGAGCATTGAGTTGTTTTTATTATTTTGTCTAGTTTGGCTGTTTGACTCAGTAAAAGTACGAGATGAATATCTGACAAGATTTTAAAGTTACGGTGTGTAGCATTCTGGCACAAAGAAACCTACAATTCATTGAATTTAGATGAAATGAACTAGTGAAAACATCGTGAGGATTATTCTACATTAAATTTCTGCCGATAGTTCCCTTTCACTTAAAAACATTATTTTTAGATTAAATGTGATTTTTATGTTTTACAATTTGATATGATCAATTTTTACCGAGCACAAACGAAGCTGTGGATCAGAAGCAGTGGCAAAGAAAAAGTTTTCTTTAAACTCATGTACAGTACATGCAGTACACAAGTGTATTGTTCAACTTTATTTTGAGTCCACAGGATTAACTTGATTATTATTATTTCTTTTTTTTTAAGTTGTATATGATCTTGAACATTTTAAGAGTATCTGTTACTTTCCTGATGCGGTACGATGCTGAGCAATGAATAAAACTTCCCGTGCACGTGCACCAGACCCAGTCATCAGCTGCTGGTTGATTAAGAGCATTAACTGACAGAGAATCGCTGTGGCTTTTATTACGTGCGCTCATAACAAGTGAAATAATTACAAACTCTCATAGCTTTTTCGTGAAATGCAGCTCGACTTTGCTTTTGGGCAACTTTGCTTGGCAGATGTTCCGTAAATATGCATCACTAAGGCTGTAACTGTGTCCAGATCACATGGAATAATACTTTTTAAATCCGCATCCTTTTGCTTTACATTTTCATTTTAATTAAAAATAAAGTAATAATAATTGTCAAAGAGCTGAGAATTTCACTGTGTTTAAAAGATGACTGCTTTTACTGAGGAAAGTTATAGAAAACACATCTGTGTCTTTATTTTTATACAATATAGCTCAGACAGTCACAACATGGTGCTACATGGAACATGGATCTGTCTTTGTCCTCATGCTCACGGCACAAACGTTTATCTGCAGGGGCCGGGATGTCTTTCACTTTAACAGAAAATACAAAAACCAGAACACTATTTTAAAAACCACACAATAAAACCCAATCACAACAGAAGTGAGCGACAACTGATGTTGACAATGAAATGAGCAGAGTAACTTTCTGCCGTCATGTCATGGACATGTGCATCAAATGAACTGTCTGTGAAAACTTGTTCAAGCCAGTCGCCAGATAAAATGTGATGCTTTTCTATTTGAGGAGTTACCGTGTAGGTGCATTTTACCTTTTATGGGCACTCTGAGCACTTGTACGGTAAAACTTTGAATAAACAAGCATCATGTTTTAAAGGTACAGTGTGTAGAATTTAGTGATGTCTAGTGTTGAAGTTGCATGTTGCAGCTGAACACCCCTCACCTCACCCTCTCCTTCCAAACATGAAAAAGAACCTGTGGTAGCCTTTAATTGTCATTAAAAAAAGAAAGGTGTTTAGTTTGTCCTCCGTAGAGAGGCTCCCCTCGATGTAAATATAAAGTATTTAAATATAAAGGGTCTTTTCTGGGGTAAAGAAAACTACAATTCATACAATTTATATGAAATGAACTAGTGAAAACATCATGACGAATACTCTGGATTAAATTTCTGGACCTTTAAGCAGTGATTGCATTGTCCAGGTTTTTACAAACGACGGCTTGTTTCATTATCAAAATCTGTTGCATTTGTGTTTTCTGTTACTTGTGTGAGACATCTCGGCAACTGTATGTATCAGTGATACACGGCACCACACCACGTAGCAGTGTTGTCTGGTAAAGTTGGGCAAAGTCATTTAAGTAAAAAAAGCTGCTAATGTGACTGGATTTATTGGATATTGAAAGGGATGTATTTAAATGCCTATCGCTCAAATGAATGTAAGAGGTGTGACCTGCTACGATTGTGAAATATTTGTGTTGACTGTAAATAATGTACACAATCCTAAATGTAAATACATATATAAGAGAAATTGAGCAA